CTGATCCTGATTTGTCCTCCTGCTGACTGTTCTGCTGCTGAGTGACTGGCTGGAGGCCTGAGGGGCTTCTGGACAGATCTTCCACAAACAAAGCCCTGCCACTACTCCAGCCATCTTTTACACCTGCCTCACCAGCCTTCACTGTGTGTTTTTAGCCCTTGTGTGGTAAGTCCTGTGATTCACTCCCCCCGACCTGGTGTTTGTTGCGGAGCTGAGTAAGCCAGCTTGAGTTTCCCCAGCCCTTGTGTGTGTATGTGTGTTTTTATTTGTTTTTTTTTCCCTACCCCCCACATTCTCAAAGCATAGGCCTCCCGCTTTTTTTCCTGTGGAGCTGTGGCTCAGTGAGCTTCAGCCCCCTTCCTCCTTATCCATTTTCTGCCCCACAACTCCAACCTGCACCTACTAGATTCACCAGTCCCACGGTATCATTTTTTTTTCTTTATTGTCTTTCCTTACCTCATGGGAAACAATGGCATGGAAGGATCCTTCTGCAGGGGTGATGCCCCCACAGAACTTCCTGCAGCCCCAACTATGGGGGTGGATCCCAGACTAGCCCTCCAAGGGGATGAATGCCCCTGCAACCTTCACCCCAGAGGCAGAGTCCAACCAACCTCCTCCAGGGGTGGAGAATCCTACAACCTCCACTGCAAGGGCAGGTGGGACTCTGGTAGGGAGCCAATAGGACCAGGGGGTTGCCCCTTGACAGCCCCCTCCCCTAGGAGTTCCCAAGCCCCCTCTCCCATCATCAGGAACCAAGATCAAGGACAGTGGGAAGGGCTTCTCTTCAGCCTCCTCCACAGCTGGAGGTGGGAAGGGCAAAGGGCCTGCCTGAAGCGCCTGAGGGGACCAAGTGCACTACACCAGCCAGCACACCCACTCAACCTGTCCCTGGCCCTAGCTCAGGCCCCACCAACTTGCCCCCCTGGGAGGGGGAACCACAGCTATGCACAGGCAGCTGTGGGGAGATCCAAAGCCAGGGGGGCTGGACTCTACCACTGGCCCTTCCAGCTCAGGCAGTGGGGCCCCCTTTCCAGCACTTACGCACTGGCACAGAGTGAAGTGCCAACTGTTCAAGCAGGAAAACCTATACTTTGAGAGCTGGGTGCAGGTCCTGGCTCAGGTAGTGGGGGCCCCCAAGATTGTGGTGGCCTCCCTCTTTCATGGCAAGGGGGTCTTTTTTCCTTGCATTGGAGGCCACTGCACAAAAGGTGGTGGAGGGCGGGCTCATGGTGGAGGGCGAGTACATCCCCCTTGATCTTCTAGAAGACCTGGAGACCAGGGTGGTCCTCAGCTCCATCCCTCCCTATATCCCCAATTGGGCCCTGCTTCCCCCGCTCCAGCCCCTGGTGAGAGTTATCTTCCTGGTGGTGGCCCTCTCACTGGGGTGCCAAGACCCTGGCCTCCACCACGTGTGCTCTTTCCATTGGCAAGTCATGATCAAGCTGGCAGTGGGAGTGCCAGCAAAGTCATTCCTTATCAGGGGGCCCTAGTGAGGATTTTCTATACATGGGAAGAACTGTGGTTCTTCTGGTGTCATGCCTGGGGGCACTTGCATCATGAGTGCCCCATGGGCCAGGCCGGGAGGGCAGGAACAGAAGCCCATTTGGGAAGCCCTTCATTCTGCTGAACAAGGCCTACCCCCTGAAACCACAGGTGCTGAGGCCTGCCCAAAGGAAGGCCTGGTGGCAGCCCCACCTCCCTCTGATCTGGGGGATACAGAGGCCCTGGGGCTCACCCTGGTGAGTTCTGAGGGAGGAGGTCCCCTTTCCCAGGACCCTGAGGCAGATGCCAGAGCCTGGTGGGTCTCTTCCCTCCCCCTCCCAGGAAAACCTCACCTGCAGCCTACCCCATAGTCCCACACCAGAGAGAGTTGCAGTAGGGTCCCCTAATCAACGGACTGATCTCATCAGGGATGCTGCACAGACCCACCAGGGATCCAGCTCTACCCTACCATATTGTGAAGGAGCCCCCCCCCCCATCCCTGGGGGCTTCAGAGGTCTCCCAATCCCAACCAGAGTTCGGGGTCTTAGCGGACCCAGGGGTTCAGATGGTGCCAAAGGAGCCCTCTGAGCTCCAGGACCAGGAGAATGCCCGAGAAGCAGCAGGCTTCATGGAGCCTGGATAACTCTCAGTCCCAGCAGTCCCCAGGGATGATCTACTTGCATTTCTTGACCGTGACTACACCTGCCAGTCGACCAGCAAGGTATAGCTCACCTTGGACTGCTGGGGAGATTTTGACAGCATCCTCTCCACTGAGAGGGTGCTGGCAGGGGAAGGCAAGGGGCAATGCCCAGATCTATAGGCAGCAATGCCCGGATCTATAGCCAGGCCTGAAGCTTCATAGATGTCCTCTATGCATATGGGAGGGTGCTACCACTTGAACCGGCGGTCCCCACACTGGGTGTTGAGATGCATGAGGCCCCTGCCAAACTGTCCTCTCCACCTCCCTCAGCCATGAGGTCATTTAAGATCATGGGCCCCTGCTGAACTGTCTACTCCACACTCCCAGCCATGAGGTCATTTAAGATTGTGACCCTCAATGTCCACAGCTGCAGGAAGAGTCTCCGGAGTTGCCAGGTGCTCTTCTTCCTTCAGGATGGGGGCTACCCCATGGTATTCTTGCAGGAGACCCTGACATCTCCAGCTTACAAACCAAATTGGCAGCTGTAGTGGGTAGGCAGGGTCTTTTTTAGTCGCCTCTCAGCCACCTCATCTGGGGTGGCCACCCTGTTCTTCCCAGGCCTGCAGCTGGAGGTTCTCCAGGGTGTTGAGGTGGTGCCAGGCTACCTGTTGCACCTCTGGGTCCAGATGCAGGGGCTGGTCCTGAACCTTCTTACTGTGTACACCCCTGTGAAGGACCCAGAGCTGGAAGATTTCTTCCACTAGGCGGCCATATACATCAGCACCCTTAACCCTCATGAGTGCCTGGTCCTTGGCAGGGACTTTAACGTCACCCTAGATGCATGAGACCGATCAGGCAAGGAGTGGAACCAAGCTGCTGTGGGTGTCCTTGGGAAATTCCTGATGAACTACTTCCTGGTCGACATCTGGCATGCCTGTCACCCCACTGAACCCCCTGCCTTCATATGTGAGGATGGGGGAGGAGCAGCCACTCCCAGTTAGACTGGGTTTATATCTCTTTACTGCATTTTGCCCAGGCCCACTCCTCTGGCATCTGGCTGACCCTTTTCAGTGATCACCACCTTGTCTGGGGCCTGGGTGTCTGGGGTCAGCCTACTGGAGTTTCAAAGCCAGCCTGCTGGAGGATGTGGGCTTCAGGGAGGCTTTCCAGGAGTTCTGGGTGGCCTGGCAGGAGCAACAGGCAGCTTTTCCCTCAGGTCAGAGATGGTGGGATGTGGGGAAAGTGTGCATCTAGCTATTTTGCTGCAGCTACACTCGGGGGCACACCCAACAGAGGGAGGTGGTCCAGGAGCAGCTCGAGTGGGAAGTGCTAGAGCTGGAGAGGTGCCTGGCCACTGACCCAACCAACCCGTCCTCTGCGGAGAGTGTGGGGAGAGGTGGGAAGAGCTTTGTGCTCTGGATGACCACTGTGCCTATGGTGGGACCAAGAAGTACATCACCTACCTTCTGGCTGGTGACAGCTCCCCCCTCACGGATCCAAGTGAGATGCACCAGCATGCGCGGGCCTTCTATGAAGAGCCCTACTCCCTGGATCCAACTGATGCCAAGTCCTGTCAGACCTTGTGAGAGGGACTCCCACTGGTCAGTGTGGGTGAGCGGGACCAGCTGGAAGCTCCTCTCACTCTGGCTGAGCTTTCAACCGCCTTCCACATGATGCCCAGTGCCTTGTTGCCAGACATCAACAGGCTGACCGCGGAGTTCTACTGGGCTTTATGGGACATTCTCAGCCCAGACCTTGTTGTGGTCTGGGCTGAATCTGAGGGAAGTGGGGAACTCCTCCTGTCATGTCGGAGGACCGTGCTGACCCTCCTGCCAAAGAAGGGGGATCCCCAAGACATAAGGAATTGATTTTCTGTTTCCCTCCTCTGCACAGACTGCAAGGTGGTAGCGAAGGCCATCTCGCTGCACCTTCAGTCCACGTTGATGGACATTATCCATCCTGACCAGATGTACACGGTGCCCAGATGTCTTTGCCAACCTGTACCTGGTTCAGGACCTCCTGGAGCTAGTGTGCTGGGGGGGTCTGTCTTTTGCCCTCCTATCCCTGGACCAGGAGAAGGCGCTTGACAGAGTGGATCACAGGTACCTCACAGGCATGCTGTGGGCCTTTGACTTTGGGGCCCACTTCATGTGGGCTCTCCAGGTGTTGTACACCTCTGCAGAATGTTTGGTCAAGCTCAACTGGACCCTGACAGAGCCCATCCCATTCAGGAGAGGGCATCAGACCAGCTGTACACCTTGGCCCTGGAGCCCTTCCTCACTCTCCTGCGGATGGCAGGGTTGATGCTCCAGGAGCTGGCAGTGCAGCTGGTCCTGTCAGCATATGCTGATGATGTGCTCTTCATGGTCCACGACTCGGGTGACCTGGTGCAGGTGGAGGCCTGCCAGGCATTGTACGCGACAGGCTCCTCTGCCTGGGTCAACTGGGTCAAGAGCTTTGGCCTGGTGGTGGGTGACGGGCGGGCTCACTCCCAGCTGTACTCTGGGGATCTGCTTGGGCATGGACTCGCTGGTCTACTTGGGGGTCTACCTGTCCCCCACAGACCCCTCCCTGCCAGAGAACTGGCATCAGCTGGAGGAAAGGGTAGTGGAGCATCTCTGGGCATGGGCAGGACTCCTGCAATGTCTCTCCCTGCATGAGAGTGTGCTGGTGCTGAACAAGACGGTCCTGTCCATACTCTGGCACTGCTTACACACCTTGCCTGTGCCCCCTGAGTTTCTGGTGGAACTCCAGAGATGGGCGCTAGAGCTTTTCTGGCCAGGATAGCACTGGGTCACTGCAGGCATCCTGAGCCTCCCCTTGCAGGTGGGCGGCCAGGGCCTGGTTTGCCTGTGCAGCCAGTTCTTGGCATTCTGACTTCAGGCCCTGCAGGCAATGGTAGAGTCCCTGTTCCCCCGAGCACTACCAGGGGTAACAAGGAACAACCACAATAATTTGACTGAGAGTAGATTCAGGCTAGATATAAAGGAGGTGCTACTTCATAGTCAGGGTGGCTAGGATCTGGAACCAACTTCCAAGGGAA